TGTGTGTGTGTGTGTGTGTGTGTGTGTGTGTGTGTGTGTGTGTGTGTTTGTGTGTGTGTGTGTGTGTGTGTGTGTGTGTGTGTGTGTGTTTGTTTTGCCCTGGCAGTTCAAACGTAGATTATCCTAAAGGCACAACTAACAGTTTTTGAGTACTGAACAGCAGAATTAATTATCTTCTGCATACTATATCATATGGTTCAAAGGGGATGAATTGTTGAATTACCAAAACTTCCAGTTCATTGCTGCCCAGGTCCAGCTGTTCCAGTTTGACCAGGAAAGAGAGTGACCTGAATACGAACAGAAAATAGCACACGCAGTAAGTCACACATTACGTGCCCTGAAAGAACAAAGAGCCGAGCATTGCAGACTATTACAACACACCATTCATTCGCATGTACCGACATATGCTAAGAATGTTTTTAAACGTACCTCGCGCTACAGGTGACTTGTAGTTTCTGTCGTGTTCTTACACACTACAATAAATCTTTCTTATGTGTAGGTGTGAAAGGTTCTAACTAAAAGGTGAGCACAAATCCTCATGCATTGTGAGCTTATTGCACGTATTGTGCTTGATGGAGATGGTGGGGAACTAGAGAAGAGGCCGAGGCCCGCACATGTATGCCGGAGGGAGATGACACTTACGTTGGCAGAGACTTCAGCAGGTTCTCCCTGAGCTCCAACGTCACCAGATTGGCCAGGCTGTAAAAAGGAGGCAAGTGAAAGAGAAAGAGGGGCAAGAGTTGGCAGGTGGGGAGCGGAGAAGGGTGGGGGAGTAAGAGAGGCGGGAGAGGAGAGGCAGGTTGGTTAGTCAGATGGCAGGTCTGTTGGACCGGGCTGCCTGGCATGGAGAGGGGCTCCTCCATCTGTCGGAGCACAGCAGTGGCCAAGAGCCCAGACGGCGGCTGCCTCACAGCCCACTGGGCAACAGAATTGCACTCCTTGAGAAGCTACTCAGACCCTAATGTATCGAGGGTCTAACTGAGAAGAGGGCTTTAAGATCTTTCTTAAAATTGTAAAATCGTTACATTTTTTACAATTATCCTATGAAATGATCCACTACGTGCACATGTACGTACTTTCCAATGTCGTTGGGCAACGTCTGCAATGACACGTCGTTGAGTGCCAAGTGAGCCAGCGCTCGGAGTTGAGTGAAACCATCCGGCAATCTGAAGCATCGAGACGGGAGAGAAAACAGAAAACGGTGGAGACGGACTCTTAGTGTTGTGTTGTACGGCACATGGGATCACTTAACATCACACACTCACGAGACCTATTGGCCCTTTACATATTCCCATCTGTTAATGTCCTCAGCATCAAAGCTTTATCCAGTCGTTCCATTGGAGGAAGTTAAAACCTAGACATCACTGATGTGGCAATATGTAAGAAGAGAGCCTTGCAGCAGAGACTTCATGGAAGAATGTAATAGAGATTAACTTGTATCCTGGTTAGATTAACCCGACACTTGATTCATACAGAGCCTTGTTTGGTCGGGAAGAACATTGTCACACAAAAACCTGATCTCCTCCAGGCATTTGTTCACGTACTGTGGATAATTGTTGCTTTAGCAAATCAGCATAAAGTGACATGTCCCACTGCATATTTAAAATAGGAAAGATGAGTAATTAGAGCACAAAGATGACACTTATGCTTTGTTTCATTTTTTTTCTGCATCTGTGCAGACAGATGCAAAGAGAGTGACCGGCTGTTCCCCGCTCTCTTACCTGGACAGTGGGTTCCCACTGAAGTCTGCGATCTCCAGGGCCTTGCAAAACTTAATGCTCTCGGGGATCTCAGGAATTTCTGCAGGAGACAAGAGGTGGTGTGGGAGGGAGGCAGGCATCAGCACCGTGGACACACAGATTTAGAACGGGGGGTTCGTATCCTATGGACCGAATCATTTTAAATTCCTCGTAATCACAACCAGATGGCCAAGAGGAGGAAAGTGAGAGAAAGTAAAGGAAAACTGAGATAGAAACAGAACAGATGGAAGTTGGTGAACGTTTTGTTTTTACGTCTTCATTTTCCTCCCATCATAGAACATTTGAGTAATCACACATTTATAGATGTTGCTGCAGTGCTTTAGTCTTTTTAGCTGCATGCTGCTGAAATCATAAAAGCAAAGCTTGTATTTCTTTATGATCTATTTGAGAGTGGGAAATGGAATTGAGCTAAAGTTAGAGCTTTTCAGAGAAGCCTGACCAGGTGAAGCCCTTTTACCTCTGGATGCTGCAGGTGCAGGTTAAGAAATCCCTACTGAGCCAAGCAGCCTATGTGGCTCAGTGTCTCTCTGCAGCAGGAGCAGACAGACAGGCAGACAGATGGGAAAGGCCCTCACAGGCCGCTGCACACTGCTCCCACAGCACTTGATGCCGTGCGTAGCAGAGCAGATGTCTCTCATCTACGGTGTATGCCCTTCCTGCCACTGAGCATCAGTGTCTTTGTGTGCAGCATGCAATGACACAGAAAGGGCGAGGTGTTTGTGTGTGTGTGTGTGTCTGTGTGTTACAGCTGAAGAGTTGTAATTTCACCTTAAGTCTCATGTATGAAATATTACTTCTGGCTGCATCATGGTGCTTAACACCACACGTCAGCATTGATTTCTACGCTTGATGTTTTGTGTTTTTGGGGGGGTGGTCTAGACAGGACCGGAAGGTTATTTTAAAGCGTGTCATTAAAGGTATTGTGTGTTAACGGGTGGTCTTACAAGAAGACTGACAACGTGAACTTGTGAATGTGTTCGCGTACCATTTCTGGAGATGTCCAGCTCCACCAGCTGCATGAAGTTGGCCACCTCAGGAGGGAGTCTCTGGATCTCATTGTCACTCAGGCCGAGCTTCCGTAGGTTTAGTAGTCTGAAGAAAGGCTGTGGAGACACAAGACAGCACGTCAGTCAAAACACAACATTAACTAGGCAAGCAACAATGTTCAACTATCACATTCTGTTTGTAATGCTATAAAGACTATAAAGATACTGCAAATACTAACGATTATTTTCAAGTTCACGTTCTCCGAGCCCTAAATGAAATATTCAAACTGCCTTTTTTGCAGACCTACAGCCCAAAACCCGAAAATATTCAATTAACTACACTAAGACAAGGCAAAAGCAGCAGATCCTTACATTTGAACCTGCAAATGATTGGCATATTTGCTTGAAGAACAGTTTTAATGATGAAACAATTATCAAAATATTTGCTGTCAGTCAACTTATCAATGAATCAACTGATAATTTCAGCATTAATGATAATTTTTAGACCACAAGTGGGCATAGAGCAGTGTATTAGTAAAGGTTTAAGTGGTGAGAGTGAAGCTTAAACCTGATATATTAAGATAATTCTTATTAGTGTTTTACATGTTGCATAAACTTCTGTCTGCCTAACAAGAATTACAAGAACACAAAACATCCTGTATATTCAGACCAGGACCGCTTTTTTAAAAACATTCCATTATCTTATTCCCCCAAAAACTCCTCCTCATCACGGCAACGCCAACCAAACAAAGTGGCTTTCGATGGGAGAGCCGAGGAGAGCGCCGTGGCCATGCCAAGTGCTTTCACAAGAGCCTGGTTGTTGGACCGGACAGCGCTCAGAAACATTCCTCCGCCAGCCGCGCCGTGTGTGTGTGTGTGTGTGTGTGTCATCTGCCGTTAAGATGGACAGAAAGGACAGGCTGGCGGGGAGCAGCAGGAGTAACGGGCCAAACTATGCAGTGATTAACCCCTCAATCAGCCCCACAGAGGACCCACTGTCTGCCCCGGCAGAAGCCAGCCAGCTCCTCAGACGCCGCGATGGAGGAAGACTCCTGAGAAAGTATGCCGACTCGGGCTTTTCCGAGGGCAGGAATATGTATGACCTCATTATTCAGGGATACTTTCTCAACATAGGGTGCACAGATGTCTGCAAGCTTGGAGCCTCAACCTTAATTCAAATTAAACCTCTGGGTTTTAGCAAGGCACTCTGGTAATTGACACACAATGGTTGTTTTCAACAGAGACTAATAGAACAAATTAAAAACCTCCATACAACATGTTGGGAGACTGCTCTACAACCATGCTGACAAAGAGAAGGAGGCTGCAGTTCAGCTCCACTCTGTTCCTCGATAACAGACACATCCTGCTCTTCACTAGCTATGTGTATTGTGTTTGGATGGGGAGTGAGGTGGCTACAGTAGCAGGATTTAGTTTTCTCACAATGAGTTTGCTGGAAGTGCAAGACAGAGCTTCTCAGTAGCTTCCCAATTATCAAAATTCACTGGCAGTTCAAACTAGAATCCTGAAGGAGAGTGAAATGAGGTGGAAAAAGGACGACGCCAGGGAGAGACAAAGAGGGTGTTGGCTCCCTGAGAAGCAGGTGACAGGTATCAGGTGACAGGAAACAGGAAACAGGAGCTGAGGACAACCATGTGACCAGGGGCCAAGCCCAAGTGGGAAGTGGCCCCCAGGAGGGGAGGCAACCTTGAACAGGTGACACTCGGGAGACTGAAAGCCTCTCGGGGGGGAAAAGGTGTGTTAAAAAAAAAAAACACACCTGAAAACCTTTCAGAATAGTTCATAACTGCTTCCCACTGACTGTAAGACTTTCAAATTAAACAATGGACGACCAACAGTGTTTTACGGGTCCATTGGAATAACAAGCGGGAGCAGTTGGATTTAGTGTAACGCCGTCGTCTCATCATTGTATTAGTGAGCTACAACGGTCTGCTCGGTGACTCAGGCAGTTTTTACAGGGCTGTACTTGTGTGTGTGTGTGTGTGTGTGTGTGTGTGTAACCATTTATAGAGTGAGGCGCGGCGGCACGTTGGTTAGAACAAGTGTGCTACATTTCCTTTTACAACGGGGGTGTTTTAATGAGGGCCTTGTGAGAGTTGTTTGGTTAAGGAAGGGAGTGAAGCTGTGAACAAGAGGATACAGTACGATAGAACAGAAAGGAGGTAGGAGGTAGATAAATGATAGCCATGTCAGCAGAGGGCAGTGTGGGGTCTTAAGACCACTTACAGTATTACACAGGATACCAGTCACCACAGTAGAATACTATATACCAGTGTCATTTACTCAGACTGTCAGCATGTTTCAGTTTACAACCAAACAATCAGAGAAAAGCAAGCATTAAAACTAGCAATCAGCATTAGCCATCTGGGAACAATTGATACGTATAGTAGGAAAGTCTTTGTCTCTTTTTAAAAACAGCGTTAGCGTCGATAAATAACATCAATGGTGGGTAAGGCCTCTATGAGAACTGCCACATCTGCACATATTCCTTTGGACTCCGATAAGGTTTCACACCGGGGAGGATCTGGTCTGTGTAACATCCACAATGTGACCAACTCAAGCTGGTGTGAAATGAGTTCTGTGGTGTAGGCACTTTGAGACGTCCCCCATTATTACACAGTGACTGGAGCCTTGTCGCCCATGAGCGACCTGTGACAGAGAGCAGTGTGTGTGTGTGTGTGTGTGTGTGTGTGTGTGTGTGTGTGTGAGAGAGAGAGACTCCGCATAAGACACGCTGCACTACAGTGCGCGTGTGTGCAGCATCGGAAAAATGCTCCGCTTTGTCTTATCTGCTTCGCTTACAATCCACTCAGACAGCGTTAATGTGCCTCAGGATGTGTGATTTGTATGTGTGTGCAGTATGCGTGTGTTTGTGCATTCTGCTGATGTCCTCAAGTCACAGGAGAGAGGATCCTGTGCTGTAGGTCTATACGTCAGCACACACACCACTATTTACAGAGTCTGGTTTTACTTTGGTTAACTCTGGGTACAGTAGTAGGACTCAGCAGCATGTGTGCGTGTCGAGGGGAAAGAGCAGCATGTCCAGATATCAGAGAAGCAAAGTGTGTATGTTTGTGACACATGTGAGTAAACTGTAGGTGAAGTGAGCCAAAGCCTGATGTTCACAGAGGCTGCAGTGTTCCAGTCAAGTGACTCCATTTAGCTTACGGTTTCTCTCCAATCATGCCATCAGACTACAGACAGAGCAGACACACGCACACGCACACACACACACACACACACACACACACACACACACACACACACAGAGATAGACAGACACACACAGTGTGCAGGAGGCCGTAGAGAAACCCCACACACTGCATGTTTGCCTTAATGCATTAACCGAAGGCCAGGTTCATTGTCTAAAAGACTTCTGGTATAACTTCGGCAGAGACGAGGGCACACTATCTAAAACAAAAACGTCTGAACCAACCTGAGCAGGTCTCTGCTCGCCTACAGAGGCATTTATTCAAAATGTTCAAAAAAAAGAGAAGAGGAAGTCAATCTACTATTTACCCGATCACCCTTTCTGTCTAACTCTCACACACCCCCTTTCCTCTGTGAGTGGAAGCCACATTCACCCATTCCAGAGCCTCCTAATCTTGTGCCAAATCTGCCCTGTCTGCCTAGTCTGCATGTTCCCCCTCTTGCAAATATAAATTCCCACACAATGCACACAAACTACACACACTGTGTGCACACTACTGGGGTGAGGGGCTCAAAGAGAGAGAGGGGTGAGAGGGGAGGGGGGAGCACATGCTTTTGTGCTGGCCTGGACTCTTTCAGTGTCCAGGGAAATAAAAAGCGGAGAGGATTTGGTTGACTGAGTATCTTGTTCGGCCACTCGAATGGCGAGCCTCATTACTGCACACTGCTTTTCAAGATAGCTGCAGTTATTGTTGTGGTATAAACTCGGTACATGAGTGGGCACAGACACGAGGTAGAATCACTCTTCCTCCTCGTTCTGAACTTAAAATCTTCAGCTCAGAGTCATGTGAAGCTACAAGCGAAAGCACCAGCAAGATTGCTCGCTCAGTCATTTCAAGGCCAAATGCTAATGGTGTAACATGTTGCTCTGCTGATTGGCCAGAGCGTCCCCTCCCCCTGTAGGCCACAGTTTGAATCCCAAAGTTCCCAAAACTTCTACACATGAATGAGAGACCCTAACTGGTCCTCTTCCCCTCCCCCACACCGGGCCGTCAGTCACAGGCCAGCTCTCGATGCCGCCCCCCCGCCTCCCTGCAGCCCGGTCAGGGGATTCCTCTATTGTCCGAAAAGGGCACCGCGGAGAAGAGAAAAGGGCTGGAAATGGAAGGACGAAGACTTGAAAGAGGAATGTTGCAAAAGGATAACAAAAAGCAGGAATGACTAAGAAGGATGGAGAAAGGGAGTGGGGAGAAGAAAAGGAAGATTGTGTGCGAAGGAGAGAGGAGAGAGCCGAGAGAAAGGGAGTGACGGAGGATTATTAATGAAGAATAGAGGGTAAACAATGGATTCCCACAGAGCTCTGGACACTAACGGGGACAGAGACCTCAGCCACTGACCAACACATTATCTACACTGACTCACTGGCCTTCTCTCTTATAGATGAATTAAGTATTTTATTAATCCAAATGCGCAACAACCCTCATTAAAGTGGTTTAGTGTGGTCCACTGTGGCCCATATACAGTGTGGATTACAATGCTCCCATTGGCCTCATCGTAAAGCCTAAATACATTAGGCCAACGATGCAACCGTCCCTCACCCACTGTCTCCTACCGTCTCCCACACACCCTGCTGCATTGGTGAGACATAAATAACCACAGCATCCACGAAACACACCAGCACCGCACCACTGAATTGCACCTACGTTTACTAATAGCGTCAATCAAACACGCTCGCACACAGACCACAAGGCACAGAAGTAGGCGTGTGGGTGCAGATGTCTTTGTGTGGCCAGGTAATTGTGTCTGTATGTCATATGGATGTGTATGTGTGCATGTGCATGTGTGCGTGTGTGTGTGTGTGAGAGTGTTTCACTTAAGTGGCGCTTTCAGCCGTGACTTCCCTTATCTGGCTCCAGTGCCTCAACAGGCCACACAGAGAGAAGGGGCAA